CTTTTCCCCTCTTCTTTCTCCACTCTGTTTTCAGTCCTTATAAATTTATTTGCCTTTTATAGAAATGTATATAAAAAGAATTAGATAGTATGAGCTCCTTTTTGCTAGGCTTTTTGATTCAGCATAATTATATTGACATCATCTTTGTTTTGGTATCAATAGTTCATTCTTTTTTATTGTTTGGTAGTATTCCATTGTATGGATATGCCACAATTTATCTATTTACCTGTCAATGGACTTTTGGATTGAGATTTGAAATTTTATTTTATACATTCTGGACAGAAGTCATTTATCAATAGGCAATTTCCGAACATTTTTTCCTAGCCTATGGTTCTCTTTTCATTTGTTTACTGTTGCTCAACAACCAGTTCTTAATTTTGACAAAGTCCAATTTATCAATTTGTTCTTTTCGGGAACGTATTCTTAGCATTGTAAATTAGAAATCTTAACTTAACTTGAGGTGACAAAGATTTTTTTCCTGCTCTTTTCTGTAAGTTTTATAGTTTCAGGTTTTTCATTGAGTCTATGATTCAGTTTTTAGTTAATATTTATTTGTTTATGATGGAAACTATGGACTGGAGGATTTGTTCTGTTTGGTATATGAACATCCAATTGTTCTAGTACCACTTGTTATACATTTGTTGAACACCATGGGTATATTTCTTTATTTCCTATTCTGCTCCATAGACTTATTTTTCTGTCTTTATACCAATACCACATTATCTTAATTCCTACAACTTTAAAAGAAATCTTGAGTTCAGGTTGTGTAAATCTTCCAAGTTTATTTTTTTTCAAGGTAGTTTTCAGCATTTCCCTTTGAATTTTAGTCAGTTTCTTCAAAAATAAAAGTCATCTCTGACTTCAACTGGGACTGCTTTGAATCTATTGATATTTTGGAGAAAACTGACATCTTCCTAATATTGAGTTTTCAGATCCATGATCCATTCCATGATGTTTTTATTTAGGACTTCTTTAATTTTTAGCAGTGTTTTATATTTTTGATACACACATTTTGCAGATATGTTGTCAAATATATTTCTAAGAATTTCTAATTTCTCATATTATTGAAAATAGTTGGATTCTATTTCAAAATATTTTTAGAATTTCAATTTCCAATTCTTTATGCCACCTTGCTAATTCACTTATTGCTTCTAGTAGATTTTTACATCTTTGTTTCTTCATTTAGGTGCTATTTCTTTTTCCTGTATTTCGCACAGGCTAGAATTACCAGTACAATTTGTTGTGAAAGTAGTGTTGTGGTTTAGATGTGGTGTCCCCCCAAAGAGACAATGTGAGAGAGTTCAAAGGAGAAACAATCAGGTTGTGAGAGCCTTAACCCAATCAGTTAATTATCCCTGATGGGATTAATTGCGTGGTGACTGGAGGCAGGTGGGGTGTGGCTGGAGGAGGTGGGGCATCTCAGGTGTGGCTTTGGGGTATATATTTTTATCTGGCCAGTGGAGTTTCTCTCTCTGCTTCCTGATAATCATGTGAGCTGCTTCCCTCCACCACTCTCTGGCCATGATGTTTATCCTCGCATGGAACCCTGAGGAATGGAGCCTGCTGTCTATGGATTGAGACCTCTGAAACCATGAGCCCTCAAATAAGCTTTTCCTCCTCTACAGTGGTTCTGGTCAGGTCTTTTAGTTGCCACAGTGGAAAAACCTCTCTAAAACAATTGGACCTCTTGCTTTGTCCCTGATCTTATGGGAAAAGGTATTTAGTCTTTCAGCATTCAGAATATGTAAGCTGTAGTTTTTGTAGACGCCCCTTTAAGGTGAAGGAAGTTCCCTCCTGTTGCTAGTTTGTGGGTTGGTCTCATTCATTTTAGTGCAGAATGGTATTCAGAAGCCAAGATCTGAGCATTGTAGTTGCTCACTACTGTTGGAATGTTGCAGCTCTCAGGCCCTCTCAGTGGGCTAAGCTAGGAAATCTTCATACAATACATATACAAACCATGAGCTCTGATACCAACCACAGTACCGTTGTGAACACCTTCCTTAAGCCTCCTGAACCCTGTGTTTTCATACCAGTCCCCACACTGGGCTCCCTCCTATGCAATGCACATGTTGTCCTCCTTGACCTTTGACATCTTGCTCTCGGGAAATACAAAGGCTCTCATTTCTCTTCTTCTTAACACAGATACCAAATTTGCTCTACACTTTGTGATGCCTTTTGGATAGAATTCTTCAGGAAGATAAGGAAAAGGAAGGCTAGGAAGAATTAAAACTACTTTTTTAAATTTCCAAAACACTCCAGATCTCAAGTGTGACATGGAAGTAGCAAAGGGGGTTGATCTTAAGGAAGCCCATGAGTTGGGGCAAGGAACATCTTGTTGGCAACTTGAATCTTCCTTAATGCTTTGGCACTGCTTAACCTCATGGGTATCTTAGCATAACCTTTGATGGGCAGGGCTTAGCCTCTACAGTGGGTGAAATTTAACTCCTGTCAGCTTAGGGGGAAAGGATTCTAGAGTCAGATTCATATTGATTTAAAGAAAAATAATATTTCTTAATCACTTTGAGTTCAGGGTTGAAAATTATTATTGGCTACAATAGAAAAACTGGGCAGAGGGAAGTTTGAAGGTGACCCTGGAAGTAGAGCAGGCAATTAAAGAGGGGAGGTAGAGCTGCAGAGAGGTCAGCACCAGAGGCTGTGGATTTGGTGAACATTTACCTGTGCTGATAGTTAAAGCCCAGTAAAATAGATGAGATCCCAAGGCAAAGAGAATAGACAAACAATGGCCCTGAACATCGGTACTTGTCTTGGTGTGTGCAGTAGAGGGGGAAGGAGGAAAAGGAAATAGCAAAGAAGGCCTAGACATGATGTGGCAGGTGGTGAGTCAGCAGACTCCACCCATCAGGGAGCCAGGGGAGAAGGTGAGGTTAATAGCATCCTGGCTTTAGAGAGGGAAAGCAAATCGAGACTGAGGAGCCATTTGATCCAGTGACTTAGAGACTGCTGATGTCCTTAAAAGTGCAATTTCAGTAAAGTTGTGAAAATAGAATTCCACTTCAGACACTTAAGGAGAGAGTGGGGATAAAGATGCCTCTGAATAAGTATAGATCATTCTAAAACTTTGACTGTGAAAGGAAGGGGAATTGAGCAGTGGTTTGAAGGGGGGAACATGAGGAATAAGCAGCAGGGTTTGCTGTCAGGAGAAACCGAGGATGTACGTTGAATATTAACCATTTTTCCTATCCTCCAATATTACTAGTGTAAAACATTTGTTATAATTCTGAAACTTCATATTTAGAGAGCTAATTCACTCAATTCACCCACCTAGTATAAAAATAAAGAAATTTGCATTTGAAATGTAAACGGTATAAGCAATAAGTGTTGTTTTCAAATCCTTTACACAAATGGAAAAAAAAATATGATTTTCTTTCAAAGTCAGGGATTCTTGGCTCCTTTTCACTTAACAATTGCTAAGCAGGCAGGAGGAAAGTTGAGATTTGGGTGGGAGAGCTGTGGCAAAGGGCTCAATTTGGCCAATGGTATGGAGGCATAGATGTGGGGCCTTTCTAAGGCCAACCTTTGGAAACTTCTCTGCCATGTTCTCCAATGTTGGAGGAAGCCTGCTTGTTATCTGCTTGGTACAGCTCACTGTTCTTCTCTCTATATAATGCCATATGCCTTGTGTATAAGACATTTTCAATAAAGTCTTAAGAAGATAATGCAAAGAAAATCCTGGAAAACTGTGTAGGAGGATACCAATGCCCCATCTCAGCTCATTAGCAATTTGAAATTGATTTGGAGAGATCAATTCTGACTAAAAGCAGGAAAACAAGGTTAACTGAAGATAGACTATTTTTCTGTTCCTGTATGTAAAGGAGAATGATAGAGGCTCAAAAACTGGAGTGGGCAGAGCTCGATATGGAAGAGAATTGTGATCTACTCTTCCTATAAAAGCTCGCTGCTCATTGTGTGGCCCATGGAACAGTCATACTGGCATCACCAGGGAGGTTGTTAGAAAAGCAGTTTCTCAGGTCCTAACCCATACTCACTGAATGAAAATGTGCATTCCCAAGTGATTTGTCTACACGCTGAAGTTTGGAAAGGATTGTGTCTGAGTATTCAGGAACTGTGAAATGATTGGTGCATCGAGAAGTTCTCTAGAGACCAGACAGCTAAGACAAAACTAGTCTTCTCTGAAAGAAATCATCAGAGAAATATCAAACAGGAATTAGTTAACAAAGATTCGAAAGAGAATCTGGAAGCTAGAGAAATAGAAGTCTTATCAGACTTATTCACTTTGGCAGAATCTGTGGACTAAGAAGAGATCAAGTTTATCTAGGACTGAAAGGCTGGACCAAGAACAATAAAGAATTTTGCCTATACCTGGGGATGTAGCTCAGTGGTGGAGCACTTGCCTAGCAAGTACAAGGCCCTGGGTCTAATTCCCAGAAGAATTTTGCCTAAGCCTAGGCCTGTAAATACCCTGTATACCTGTAAGTGAGGACAGTACATACAAGAGGTAAGACTGAAGAAGGAAGAAGTGACCAGAGAATGTGTTTGACTGGAGAGCTAAGCCAAGGTCTGGGCACACTCTATAAAGCCACCTCATGAGTCTTCCATTTTGATTTAAGAACCCTCCCTCAAAAGGTCAGAGTTATTTCGAACTTCTTCAGACTGACTGCCTCTAAGCATAAGCAAGATACACCAGAATAGAATTTTTAGGAGTGTGTGAGTCAGCTTTCCGTCACTGTGACAAAATACCTGAGATAATCACTTGTCAGGAGAAAGATTTATTTTGGCTCATGGTTTCAGAGATTTCGGTTCATGGTCAGTAGGCTCTGTTGCTTTGGGGCTTGTGGTGAGGCAGTTCATCATTGTGGGAGCATGTGGCAAAAGAAGATGCTTACCTCATGGTGACTGGAAAGTAAACTTAAGCAGCAGGAAGGGTCTGAGTCACAATATCTCCTCCTAAGGCATGACCTAACTTCCTCCCACTAGGCTCCACCTCTTGAAGGTTCACCATCCCCCAGGAACTCTATGGGCTGGGAACCATGACTATAACACACAAGCCTTTGGGGGACAGTCAAGATCCAAACTACTGCAAGAAGCATCATCTTCACTGAAAATGTTCTAGTTTCCTGTGATTACAGGAGAAAATTTCTCCCAACAAGGTAAGGTGTGGTGGGAAGTTGGTTGACAGGAGGCTCCTTTGGGGACTTTGGTAACAGACACTTTGCCTTTGGGACAGATTGCACTGCAATCATCTCAGACCAGTTGGGCATCTAGAGGACCTGGACCCACAACACTCCTTTCCTTATCCAACTGCTGTCTCACTTTACCATGCATTCAGGTCTCCAAATTTTGCCTGAGCTGTCCCCACTGGCTGTATTTCTCCATCCTCCGGTTTTAAAATGTTTAATATCATCAAGATTACCTGAGAACGCCGGTTTTAAGGGTAGATTCCTGCTCTTCCACCTCCAGGGCCCTGAGGGATTCTGATGGTGAGGTCCAGGATCCAGAAAATATATTTACAATAATCCCCACAAAGTAAGTCTGCTACCCATGTTCCCAGTCTAGATTTTCAGAAACCTAGTTTAACCCCTTCCTTCTGCTTTACTCCTTCACAGCCTGGATTCTGGCCTGTCAGGGAGGTGGAGGTGGCAGCGTGGAGACTATTAGATGTGTGCTAGATCTTATATAGTACCCATTCCCTGTTCTATTCTCCCCTTTGCAGCCTCCCTCACCTTCCTCACCCCTTCCTTCTGCTCTCCCTGCCTTCCAGTGACCACCAGACAGTCACAGGCCATCTATCCACAAACATTCAGCCCTCACCAACTCTCTTCCACTCTATCCATCCCCCGACATGTTCTCTATCTCCAATTTCACTTTTGGAATTCTCTACTTAGTTTCAGCCAGCTTTCAGTCATCTACAGCTTCTCTAGGTCTCCAATTACATCTTCGAGGGCGTATTTGTAAGCCTCTTCAAACTCCTCTTCCTTGACCTCATGGCCACACCTGCCACTGCCAGTCACCCTCTTCTCTAAGCACTCTGGCTCTGCCAGGGTGGTCATGTTCACAGCTACACCACATTTTGCCTTTTCATGTAATAGACAAGCTCAATTCCTGCACTGTAGACAGATCTCAGGATTCAGCAGGCATGCCCACTTGTCATTTGCCCCATTATGCATCCTTTAATCCCTGAGAACTGGCACACCACTGGGGGAGCCTAAAAGATGATTTATCTTCACAGTTGATTGACTTAGTCAAGAATGCTCGAAGGTATGGTCTTATAAACAGGACCAGTTGCATAATTTGCAGAGCCTAGTATAAAACAAAATGTGGATCCCTTGTTTAAAAATGTTAAAAAATTTCAAGCCAATGACAGCAGTTCATTAAACAAAGGCTATGACCCTTTTAAGTGCAGAGCCCTTGCAACTGCAGTGGTCACACACTCAGGAAGCTGATCCTCCTGAGCCTTATCCTTGATCCAGGCTATTAGCTTGGCAACTATCAGGACCAGAGAAGTTAATGAGAACACAGGAAGAAGTTGCCAGTTAGTTTTCCCAGGGAACCACCCCTCCATGTACACAGTCTTCACTTCTCACCCAGTCAACTCTAACGTGGACCTTGTCACTGGAAGGAAGGAGGAGCACATGAATGACAGGGCATATATAACTCCTCCTCAAAATGTGGAAGAAACTGCTCCAAGGGGGAGGTCAGAGTGTCTTTACCGTAGTTCATAATAATTGGGATGCAAACTAGTCTGAATGTCATCCTAAATGCTATGCTCCCGTGTTTCCTCACTTCAAGCCCTTAAATCCCTTAAGACCAGACTGGAGATGGAAACTGGGATCCAAGCAGCAGCAAGTCTCCCTGCTTTCTTTGGGACAGAGCCAAAAAGAGATAAAGAAAGTGTTGTATTAGGCAGCAGTAAACAGGCAAGCAACCAGCAGTCCTTTAATAAAACAGACCTTTATTGGGGCTAAAATGGCCCTGGGCTGACCCCACCCTAAATCCTGGCAGTGTCCAGGGACAGGAATTTAGAGGAACAAAAATGCAGGCATTTCAGGCTGCACCCCCCTGCATACATAACAGAAGGCAAGGCAGAAACCAGCAAGCGAGGAATACATAAATACCATTATCCACTATTGCAGCCCCAACTTATTTTTTAGTCTGGATGACTCTGCTCTCTTGCCTTTTCTGCCTCACATTTCTGTCCTGTGTGTGACTCACAGGAACAGCCTGGGGACAATGAAATATCCTAAAGCCCTAAAATAGGTCCTCCTCCCTCCCTCTAACGTCAGGACGAGTTTCCTAAGGCATTTGTTTCTTCCTTTATTAACCAGGCATGAATGACAATATTGCCTGGGTTGAACAGCTCATCTCTGTCACTGGTAAACATAAAAAATGAGTCACATTCATAGAAAAGCATGCCAGAATTCCATTGATTAACATCCCGTGCCCTAACCTCTCTTTGAAATTAAAAACACTTTCAATGACACTGAACAGAAAAGGCATCACAGGAAAAATATTTCTAAGATGGGGTTGTCATTAAAGCGTGCCCAAAATAGAACTGTTTTTATTTAACCATCCTGACTGCACTGGGCCCTCCCCGCTCTGGCAGCTCTGGTGGGCAGTGAGGCTACATGCAGTGAAATCACAAGAAATGCAGAAAGTAATTCTGTCTGTTTGAATTTTAGAAGCTTCAGAAGCAGACCTATGGATAATGCCTAGTTCATGTGTCTCTTTTCCCTGCTGCAAGCAATTTTTAAGGATTTAAAATCTAGCTGTTTAGTAATTTATAGGCAAATTTTTTGATTTGCTAACTATACATCTGACTCTGCCCCTCTGCCAATTTTTTTATTCTGTCCCCTCAACCTCATCCCCACCTGGACTCAGAGTAGATCTCCGTGACTCCAGCTTTGGATCCATATTTCATGTGGACACCATTGCCTTTCAATTTTGAAAACTGGCCCTTGAGGGCCAGGCTTGTGCCAGATTTGTTTGACTCTGCAAGCACAGGGAGATTGTTGGGTCTGATTTTGTGTTTTAGATTTTGGTGCCTTCACCTGGGGCTACACAGCATCCTCTGCATCCCCTCTTCAACCTCTTCCTCAAGATCTGCCGCCATGTGGCCCCCCTCACTCTCCCATCTGTCAGTCTCACAATTCTTTCACCTCTACAGGCCTCTGGTGACTTCTGCCAGCCTTGTCCACCACTGCCTTGGGTCAGCACTGCTATTCAGCTCCCCACAACCCCTTGCCTGATCCCCAATTCTGCCGGAAGACCCGAAGTCTCTTTCAAGGCTAAATTGAAATGTTACCTTCTCCATGAAGTGTTTGTTATTCTTTGCATTCAACTTAAGTGCAACAGAGAAAGCCAAACTTGAGTTCAAATCCCAACTCTTTCACTTACCATCTATGAGAACTCAGCAATTTTCTTAATATCTGTAAAGCTCCATCTAGTGATTTTCAAAATGAGAATGATTTATTCTGCCATCAAAGGCTTGCTTTGAATATCAAAAGGAATAATGAATGTTCAAGTACCTATGTAATTCCTGGCACACTTACCCGTTATTATTGTGGGCTTTTCTGCTTTCATAGGACATATTATGGCACTTCCTCCATTGGTCTTTTTTTAAAAAAAAATATTTATTTTTTCACTGTAGTTGAACACAATACCCTTATTTTATTTTTTTATTTTTATGTGGTGCTAAATATTGAACTCGGGGTCTTGCACGTGCTAGGCAAGCACTCTACCTCTGAGCCACAACCCCAACCCCTCTCCATTGGTCTTTTAATGAAGATATTTGTGCCTTTGTCTTTCTCCTCTACTAAATCACACAGCAGGAACTTCATTACTGTAGTCCCCAAGTGCCTTGCATTCATCACTCAGTATATGCTTATTAAATGTGTATATGCTCAAATTGTCTGCTTTGCTTTAATAAAACTGACCATTAGTTTACCTATTCCCCATGGAAGAAACAAAGCTGAAAAACCCTGTCAATATTTAGATTTCTTTCCTCATTTTTAGATTTCTGTAACATGATTTTGATTTTAATCCAAATTATGATACAGTAGTAGTAAATTATAACGTGTGTATCTATTAATATATTTTAATTTTTTATTATATCATGCTTCCAATGTGCCAAGAACAAATCTCAGTAGTTCACATGACCCACACAACAAACCTGGAAGGTAGATACCATATTAATCTTCATTTTATAGTGAGGAAACTGAGGCTTGGAGAAGTTAAGCTTGACTGAAGTTTTTCAGTTAGGACCTTGTAAGTCTGGATCCCAACCCATGAAATATGATTCCAGAGAACAAGATCTTCTCTACTGCCTAGTACCTCCTCCAATTTGCTACTGCAGATAAATCATAAAGTAAAAAGCAAATGGAACTGATCCAATCGATTACTATTTACAACCAATACGACCTAATTCAACTGATGCTTTGACTGTGTAAGGTAGGAGACCAGATGAGTTTCTGTGATTGAAAATGACTGACAGATGTTTTGCCCACACAGCTGTTCCTGCAGCGTCTGGCAAGTTGTGTTGGGTCTCCTGGAGGTCCCCTCTCATCTTGCCTATAGATTCATATGTAACTTGCCAAGGAAGGCAGCAGTAAGACATAGAGGTGTGCAGCAGCAGGGGACACACTCTAGCAGGAGACCTTCTGCAGAAGCACAGGACAAGGAAGCCTGCCACAGACTTGTCTCAGTCAATGTGACATCTAACAAGTACCTTGACCCAAAGCTGAGAGATGAAACAGTGAGACTCATGGAGTTGATAGCAGCTGCCTCAGGTTTGAGGAGCTCAGAGCCATTTCGAAACTGTGGATATCCCGCAGGCTGTCCCGGGGCTTCAGGGGCTCCAGACAGATTCATTGCCTGTACATCACTGCTTTTGCCAAACTAAGACCACAGGACACCATTGAAGTCTCTCATGGTGCTTCCCAAACTCCAGTGGCAAATCACCTGGAACTCTTGTTTAAAATACAAATTCTGACTCAGCAGGTCTGGCGTTGTCTGAGATCCTGCATTTCTAACAAATTCCTGGGTGACGGACCACATTCTGAGTTACAAGGGCCTGTGGAATACTAATCTCAGGAGAGAAGTTATATGAAATGTGCTTTCTTAAAGGCTGTCATGTGTTGCAAATCTTTGAGAA